GATGGACAAAATCCGTTTCGCCATCTACGAAAACCTGGAATGATGATTCCCCTGCAAATCGCGACAAACAACGGTTTCAAGCATGGTTTCCAAGTGGTGCGAAATGGATTTCGTCCATCCACAGATTCGTCATTCCCTAATCGCAAGAAAACCTTCTGACCGAAAGCCCAAGGCTCCGCGCCTGCGCTCCTTCAGAGAAGCCCATGAGGCCTCGGCGAAAGCCAGAGGTCTGGGCATGGCTCAAAAGGACAGCCACCAGGAATCGGAAACCCGCAAGTTTAAGTATCTTTTGTTTCCAGCTACTAGGACAAGCCATTTTGGGGTCACCCAATTTTTGACAACCACACCCAGGTACGAACATGTTGGTTTATGTTTGCCCAACCAGAGAGGCAGAAATTCTAGGAAACACCCATGAGACCTCTTTGTGTTGACCTCAAAAAATGGGTGAAAAATACTTTACACGCATGTTTCACTTACTAAGGATGGTCTTAAAATATCCCAAAACCACATTCTAGCTCTTTCAGCCTTTTTCAGTCGTTTCTGCCTCTTTGCAGCCGGTTCTCTTTCGACGACTCCTTTGCTCGGCGTGCCAGAGGGCTGTAGGATTTCGAAGAGTTCTACAAGAGTACTCACAAAGAACCGACAGGGGCAAGAACAGCTGAAATCCACAGAATCCACAAGGAAAGCCCTGTTCTAGATTTTAGGATCTACCCGAAATGAGTCCTTTTTAGGGGGGCAGCCAAAGAAAACGCTGGGTGTTCCACCCAGTGCGACCCCGAGGACCCTGCCCAGCTGTTGCTGCAGCTCTGCGATCTTCTGCTGGAGTTGCAGCGCCTGCTTGCCTCAGCTGTCAACCTTTTTGTTGACCGGTTGAATGGGCTCGAAACCCAATGCGTTGAATTTGCAGGGAGATCGAAGACCATTTGGGTGTCCCTGTTGGTTGCCTTTTAACCCCCCCCCCCCCGAAGAAAACGGGCACCCCACTCATCGAGGCTCTGATCAGCTCCCTCTCAGCTGGTTTGAGCTTGTTTAATGCGATCCATATGAAAATACAAACAACCAAATGAATGTATGTATATATATATATATATATATAAGTTATAGCAACCCCCCCTCCAAAACCCAGGTTTTGAACCTGGACAATTGCCAAATCACTGGAAAAACGTTTCAGAAACATGTGTATGTTTGCCTCCGCGAAACGCATATTGTTCAAGTTCAAGCAGTAAATGTTGGCAAGTTCAATTAGATAGTCAAACAAACAGTCAGCAAGTCAGCTAATTAGTCAGTTAAATAGTTATAATGAATTAGCTCTGAAGCCAGTTAGCTAGTTAATTGGCTAATCAGTTAGTTATCTATTTAACTAGATAGTTAGATAATACTGAAGATATTCCCCTAATATTCCCCTTCCTCTACTAGTGAAATATTTGGGGAACACTAAAGTGGGGTAGTGAGGGAACACTAGGGGTGTACCAAAAGAATTACTAAATTACTAATAATTACCCTTCCCTTACTAGGAAATACTCGGGGCATACCAAGAGAATACTAAAGGAATACGAGGGCAATACTATAGGGAAATACTCAAGGAAGACTAGGGGAATACTAAAGGAGCATACTAGGAGAATGCTAGGGAAATGCTGAGGAAATACGAGGCTCAATTTGTCTGACCTCTCATGTTTCCTGGCTAGGGCACTAGGGCAATACTCAGAAAATACTAGGGGAGTAACAAATGCGAAAACTGGAAAAATGAGAAAAACAAACTGCTGAAAAAAAAAATGGAAAAAATGAAACAACCAAAAAAAAACTGGAAAAACAAACTGAAAAAAAACTACTGGAAAAACTCAGAAAAACTGGAGAAAAACAATAAACTGAAAAAGCAAGGATTCAGGGAAACATGCCTGGGGGCCCCCATGTCCCCCTGAATCCTTGGTGTTTCTGGTTTTTTTTTCAGTTTTTTCTCAGTGTTTCCCAGTTGTGACTTTTTTTAAGTTTTCTTCAGTTTCCAGAGCGCTTCCTTGAAGAGATGCCTTTACGCAATCATAGTGCTTTGTTGCTCAAACAAACCTAGGGGAATAATAAAGACGAATACATGACGAATACTAGGATAAAACCAAAAAAACACTAAAAAACTGAAAAACCAAGGATTCAGGGGTACATGTCTGGGGGGCTCCCATGTTCTCCTGAATCCTTGGTTTTTCAGTTTGTCAGTTTTCCCATTTTTTCAGTTGTTTTCAGTTTTTTTCAGTTTCCAAAGCATGTTTATCTCACTATGTTTTGTCTTTTTGAACATACATACATATATATATATATATATATGGTACCCCCCAACAAAAACCCAGGTTTTGTGAGAAAATACTGGTATTTACAGTGTTTTGTCACCAAACCCTGCATCTGCCAGAAAACACACTTTTCAGGCCCACTGTCTGCATCTGAAAAGCCTCTCATTCGGCAACCAAGTACTATGATTGCGTAAGGGCATCTCTTCAAGGAAGCAAACACACACGTGCGCACACACACAAAATGAAATCAAAATCATTAGTTAGTTAATTGATTAACTGACGAAAAAACAAATAGATAGATAGATAGATAGACAGACAGATAGATAGATAGATAGATTTTGCCACCCTTTGGAGCAACAGATGAGTCATGATCCAAACCGATCGGTACTGAAATGGTCTACCCAGAACAAAGCAAAGACTTGAAAGGGCGGCTGCAGCTATGGTTGGGATTCTCCCTTGCTCATCTTCATCTACCCGGGTTCGAGTGTGGGTCAGGCGGCATTGTCCGGTCTCAGGAGCGAACTCAGTACGTTGATGTTCATGGGCATCTGCTGGGGCGTCCTGTGCAACTTCTCGACTTTTGGCACGTGAACGACTCTGGGACTGCGTGGATTTGACCCTCCAAAAGGCAAAGGGAAGCTCTTGATCTCTTCAATCCAGCGGTTGCATGGCATGGTTTTGGCTCACCCATCCCATTGAGTCTGGCCTCATCTGAGGTGCTGCTGGAGGCAAAGGTGGCGGTGGCGGAGGCATCAAGACATTGGCCTCACACGGTTTGCCGAATCAGTTTCCGTCAACTATTTACGCAGTTACCGTAACACAGACCCATAGTTTGGAGACCCCAATAGAGCCAAGAAACAGCGAAAACTCCGCTATGACACAGCCACCAAAACCCAACCAAACCAATGCGGAGTTTCTTTCAACCAGAAGAAAGCGTTCTGGGCTTCACCTGCTGGCCCCGCCTGGGACTGCATCACCTGCTGCTGCAGCTGCTGCTGCTGGAGTTGCAGCTGCTGTTGCAGCTGGGCCAAGCCAGACCTCGGGGCTGCTTCGATGCGGGGTCCACTCCGCAGGCAGAGCACGGGGGATTAATGGGATTGGAGTTGCGAAAACTGTTTTTTAGGGAAACCTCTCAAAATAGATCACCGGGATAGGGAAACCACCTGCCCTAAAGAAGGTTTTTTGCCCCATGTCCAAGACATCACGGAAGCCTGCGGCCTGTGGTTAGCATGTCAGGGCCTGCACAGCGCTCTGACTGGCCGATGGCCGTCCCGGTGTGCCCCGGGATTTGTCAGCTGCGCAGGGCCAAAACCGGAAATCACCCCGCAAGATTTCGTAAAGCATAGCCTGCTTGTCATAACTAGTAAGACATTCCAGGGCTGTCCTTGCACAGCGACGACCTGCTGTTGTTTTGAGCCTGTTGCTTGCTCAGGCCAGAAACACATTCAGGGCAGGAGGCCCACGATGCTAAACACTTGTGCTCTGCCTGTGCAATTCAGATCTTTAGTGATTTTAACTTCGAGCGCCTCCTGCATCGGAGGCGACAGTGTATCCTACCCACACCAACAGCTTCTTTGTTGTTTACAAAACTGTAAGGCCCGCGCTGGATGCCGCTGATGCTGTTGTCTCCCAATCCGCAGCCGCCACAGCCGCCATATTGGCCGCAGCCACAGCCGCATCCGCCTCCACAGCCACAGCCGCAGCCTCCGCAGCCGCAGCCACTGCAGCCACAGGGGTTGTTGCCGCAGCAGCCGCAACCTCCGCAGCCACAGCCCCCGCAGCCGCAGCAGCCCCCGCATCCGCCACAGCAGCTGTTCAGGCCACAGCAGCCCGAGTTTCCGCAGCCCGAGTTTCCACGGCAGCCGCAGCCGCCGCAGCCGCAGCCGCAGCCACAGTTTCCGCCACACCCACTGCCGCAGCCACCACCGCAACCTCCGGAGCAGCCTCCAAGCCTCAGATTCGAGGCGAAGAACCTGAGACCAAGGTGGCTTGGGCGCATGCCAAACTACCAGACCAAAACCCAGTGACAAGGTTTTCTTTGCAGCCGGAGTATCCCAAACCCCCTCCCCATTCACAGAACAGCATCGGGAGGCGATTCATCGAATCTACAAGTTCGCAGTAGTTCTGATGACTTTATGCTACGTTTCAAACCCTATTGTGTAAACGGGTACCTGAAAACTTTGAATCGAAGCTGCTGCATGCCCATCGCACGCGTCGGGAGCTGCCCTTGCATCAGCCTCAGACCGACGAATCCGTGGGAAAACCCGTGCAAAGCGGCCTCGACTGACAGCTCGGCGTATCTTGGGGACTGGACCTTCGAAAGAAAACCGAGGCCCTCACAAATCGGCCTCCTGATTCGGTCCCTGGCCAATGGGGCACGTGCTTCGCCCACTTGCCGACGTGACGGAAAGAAAACTATGAACAAATCGGAGATTCGGTAGTGTGTTTGGAGGGTCTGGCTTGGTCCTGACAAACGCCTGGCCTTGCGGTGTCTTTGATTCTAGCCTTTTGCTCAAAGAAGCCACCCGCTGCGAAGCATGAGATCCATTTTTGCAACCCCAAACCTGTTCGAGAGATGCTGCCCGCAGCCCCCGCAAGCGCACCTGTCCGCAAGCGCCAGCGTCAGCGCTGGACCTTCCGACCAAATGAACACGGTCCATCGGTTTTGAATCTCATTTGAACCTCAATTCTTGGATGTTCAAATCAGATGCGCAAAACCAACATGTTCCATTTGCTTCCGGTTTCCGTGGTCTTTCGGGCTTTGAAGGTGCCAAGAAAGGGGACCCCCCCCTCCCCCCCTCCCCCAAAGAAGGAACCCAAGAAAGGCCCCTCCTTCGCCCCTCTTTTCGCTTAGGACAAATGTTGGGGGAATCGGCTCGGGTGACCCTCGACCAGGCGACCAGGGCAAGACTCCGAAATCGACTGGGCCACCGGGCTGATCCAGTCCCATTGACTGCATCCCCTGGCGAGTCACTCAGATCCCAGCAAAGCTTAGCTGACATGTTGACGAGCTGAAGCCATGGAACCCTTTGACTGACTGACCTGGATTGGATTGGATTGGATTGGATTGGACTGGACTAGATTGGACTGGATTGGTTTCGATTGGACTGGACTAGATTGGACTGGACTGGGCTGGATTGGACTGGGTTGGGTTGGGTTGGATTCGATTGGACTGGATTGGATTGGATTGGATTGGTTTCGATTGGACTGGACTGGAATGGGTTGGACTGGAGTGGACTGGACTGGCTTGGGTTGGGTTGGATTGATTCTTGATTCTTTTGGTCTCCTAACCCTGAAACCTTCGCTGAACGTCCTTCGTGTCCAACGTTGCCGGAACGGTGCGAGCGTTCATACCGCCCTTCCACCATCCCTCTTTTTGTCCCCAAGTTGTTCACCCTACGCAGCTTATGAACGGCAAATTTGCAGGAAACTAGGGCAGGTGCGGGGATCCCATGAGCTTTGCATGTGTGTTTGCCAATGTTGTCAGACTGAGATCGAACCATCATCTTGTGGCTGCAGGTCATTCAACGAGGTGCGACTCTACTATTCTGTTCTGGAAATGATTCGAGGAACCTACCGCTTGAACGACATCCACCACACCATCCGCCAACGCAATGAGCAAGCCTCGGAACGTTCAAAGTTCACGGCTTTTCGTTGCCCGTGCCAGCACTTCACAAGTCGCATGGGATCTCAGGCAAAACAAAAAAGGACACCCACCTTCCATCCCTGTCTCATAGCACCAGCCTCAGCTTCGCAGGCTAGATCTGTCTCTTCGATTCGGGAGAAGGAAAAACAAGGAGAGAAACAGCGGCTCCCTTACGGGAGCGCACCCCCACCCCTGCGGCGATGCTCTTTTCTATAAGGAACCAAATGGGCAGAACCTTGGGACCGGGTAGTCGGCTGGCAAACAGGCGCACAAATTCTTGGCGAAAGCTCACACAGATTGTTTCCCTGACTTGGGGCATCCACAGAGCTCAAACTCAATACCTCAAACTCAATGTTTGCTTCGCAACATAGCGCGGATATATGCCTTCTGTGTGTCTCAAACCACGCAGCCAAAGCGAGATGCCTTTTGGTCACCCTTGAAACCAACAATGTAACAAGAGTCTGAAAAGGGAGCGTGTATGAGGTCTGTTCAACAGCTAGGCTGGACTACGATCCCTTGTATCCATGTCAATACTTGCGCGGACATGGGGCTTGGGGCACACACATGTGGCCTCTCTCTCTCTCTCTCTCTCTCTTTTTGTCTCTCTCTGCCTCTCTCTCTTGGCGTCCCAAGACCCTGACAACACTAATCTCTCAATACACGTGGGTGCCTCTTTTTTCCGGTACACGCTTTGGGTTGTCTCGGAACAAAATTCCATAGTTGTCAGATGTCGCATTTGGAAGGGATTGAAGACGCTCATCAAAAACCAAGCATGGAGTTCACACATGTTGCTTGCTGTTCGATCGAGGCTGGCGCGTCCTCTGCGGCTTGCTGAGACCCGCCCATCCTGAGCCCACACAACGGCTTCAAAGGCTCGGCCGGCAGAGGCAATCTGGACCACTGGAAAAGCAACTTTCTGTGGCCATCTGTTGCTTGGACTTTAGCAGATACGCTTTGGGCGGGAAATCTGTGGGGGGGTGAGTCTCCAAAGAAGCACCCTCTTCTCATAGGGCCCTTATGAAGATCCTCCTGCTTCCTCCATCTTCGCTTCCCCTGCCAACCGCGAAGGCTCCGCTTGCCACGCCCAGCCAAGGTCGGCTGGTCACCGGGACTCACCGGGACCCGCTTGGCACCCGGCCCGGTCCAGCTTGGGGCATCCTGAGCCAGTGAAGCTTGGGGGAAACGCGGCCCCCTCGCCTGGCAGAATAGTAATCCTCGAGCTCCGCTTTTCGTCATGTTGGTAATTGGGCCTGAAAGAGTATCTCATAAAAGCCTGAGCGGACTGTTGGCAACGTGCCGAGAGAAATATCAAACATAGGGTAACCCCACAATGGCTCGTCCTGGTACATGGAACCAAGGACTACAGCCTGCGGTGTCCATGTCCTCATCATTTTTCTGTTTTCTTTAAAGCCCACCACCCGTCCGCCCGTCAGAAACGGTCCTGAAAGTTGGGCGGGGGGAGGAGGTTCGGTGACTTCATTGCCCCGCCGCTCAGGGACCCTGGGCCTGCCGCGAGAGAACGAACAAGCGAACGCGCACGCGAACGCGAGCTCTGCCCTAAAAAGGGTGGGAGGTTTTTCGTAGGCGCTTGGAGCCGGCGTCCGGAAGTGAACACAAAAGGAAGAACTGACGAAAGAAAGAAGGTGGAAGAGATGAAGAAAAAGCATAAATTGATGGCCTGGAGAGGTGGAACCTGGTCTCATCCTTCCCGGCCTGCGCAATATCTTTTCACCTCCAGGCGCATCATGCTTGCCTGAGCTGAGACTCTCTCTGCATTTTGTTCACCAAAACGATGGTCTGTCCAAGGTTTCTCAAGGGCTTCTTGGGTTCCATGTGCAAGGGGTAGTTACCCCTTTCGGGTGAGCCAAATCAAAGGGAATTCTTCAGCTGAGTGCTTCCCATGGGCCAATCTTTGCGAAAGTGACGAACCTTGCCTTTCGGCCGACCGAAAACGCAACACGAACCGCGCCTCCATGACTTTCCCAGCAATCGCGGGCATATGGTGAGCTAAAGGACCTTGATCGGCCTGCAGTCCAAAGCGCGCTGATTCCACCATGCCCCACGTGCTGTGGGGACCTCAGGACCCCTTCCCAGTCTGCAGGATACAATGTAGTGCAGTAGTACTTAGAGTGGAAACAGCCGAAGATGAGGCTCCCAATGAAAAAAACATTGCCGTGTCATCAGGGCTGCTCAAAAAATGAAGCTAGGAGGTCAATAGCAAGTATGCATGCATATGTATATGTACAGAGAGACAGAGACACAAAGAGAGAGAGAGAGAGAGAGAGAGAGAGAGCGACATGGAAACAGACAGAGAGAGAGAGAGAGAGATAGAGAGAGAGAGAGAGAGATAGAGAGAGAGAGAGAGAGTGGGAGGCTGACAAACAGCCGCCAAAAAAACAAACAGCCGACAACGGCTTTGCCAAGATCATGCGAGGTGCTGCGACGCCGTTGACCTTCATTACCAGGTCGCCCTCCTGTATTCGGTAGCCTTCGGGGCTTTTCCTCGGATGCGGAGAACCACTCCACGCGCTGATGGGCATCGACTAGTCACTCGCACAGCGCCCAAGCCCCTGGCTTGTTGTAGGCATCGACCGCCCCTCCTTCTGCAACCTGTGCGCAATCGCTGAGACCTTGCTTGCAAAACGTCCTTTGTTGCTCATATCATGTCATAACACCATTTCGACCATTGTTTTCCTCCTTCTCCTCCTCCTCCCCTCCCCCCTCTTCCCCTCCTCCTCCTCTCCTCCTACGCTCCTCCCCTTCCTCCCCTCCCTCCCTCCTCCATGAATGTCGTGTGGCGTGTATCTTTGCCCGATGGTCAAGTTGCAGTCACAGCACGCCTTCTCCACAACTAAGCCTTCTCTGTCAGGCGTGTCGACCTAGGGTGTCGATGCAAATGTGCCGCAATGCATACTGTCGCAGTCCACCCGACAAGCGATCTGCGTGTCTTCTGGCTACTCCCCCCTTCTCTCATGGAACGCAACCATTGAGATCTTGTTCAAAGCATGAGGCCCCAGCGAGAGAGAGCTGAATGCCCAACCGCGAGCCGGCTGGTTTAGGAAACTCTGCCTTCAAATCAGGGCATGCAAAAAGCAGCCAGTACAAAAGCATCTTCTTTTACATCCAGCATTCCAAAGATTGCAGCCCTTCGCACCTCGAAGGTGTGAATCATCGCCTCTCCAGGCAATGCCAATCCTGAGCTCCAGCGGATCGCCCGGAAATGCGCCGCAAGGACTGCGCAAGGCGGTCTGGGCGCCCGGCTGAAAGGGGAAGAAAACTCCGACCAGCCTCCAAGATCTCTAACCCAAGTGGCTGGCCCTTTTTAAAACTCCATAAGGCGTCTTGGAGCCTTGAGCCTAACGGCAGATGCAAAAACGCCAAAGGTGGGGTTCTGAGAAATGTGTTCTATACAAATGTCGCTCCTAGACAGGTTTCACCCAAACACCCTTTTATATAGGTGGTACATGTCGTAGGACCTCTGCTCCATCCACGACATCCAAACGGTGATATTGACACCGACCCTCCCCGCGCAAATCCGAAGCTTTGCACCCGAAAGTTGCAGCAAAAAGCACGCTGAACCTGATGCGCGCGGCAGAGTTTGCCGCGCGACGAAAGAATTCCTATGTACACCTGGAGTCGCTGCTTCTTGTCATCGCAAAGCAGTGCTGCCAAAGGCAACCTGAGGGTGAAGTCCATCCAAACATCCCCTGAAATCCTGGAGATGTGACAGCATCAAAAAAAGATGTTGGGTCCTTGCAAGATGACATATCTATATATATATATATATGTATTTGTATATGTGGCGTTTGTTCAACCAGAAGGGGTGTGCGGTCTCGCTTTCTCTTTTTTTTGCAAAATCGAACCTTGGGCTGGGCACACTGGACGCGCTGCACCTCAGCTGGGTGAGCAGCGCTGTTGGAGTCGTGGCCAGCAGAAGCTTTCTGGGCACTTCATCTTGGGGTTTGCCAGCGGCATCAAACTCCCCAGAACCTGGCGCTGCTATTTTTTCCGAAACCCGCTGAGCATCTTTTTCTGGAATCACCCATAAAAATGTCTGAAACAAAGGGAACCCCCCTTTTTGGATGGCATCATGGGAAAGCAACCGGGACCCCGACCACTCGGAGGGTCCTTAATTTTGAGACACACCCAAATGAGGCCACGTGCATCTATCATCGAAATAGCAACCTCAGAGTACCTGGCGCATGTTGCCGACCCCCTCTGCGATTCGATGCTCTTTTTTGCGCCGGCAAAGCGTCACGCCAGGGACTTACCCTTTGTCTCCGGCCTGAGCGAGCCAGACGGCCAGCCGGCAAATGCCAAAGGTGTGACATACACCATGACTGGCCATCAACGATAGGAAAATAGATTGTTCTGCTCCTATCCAGACAAATCCCTTCTTGATGTGATCTCGTTGATGTTACATCCTCTGGCGCTTCCCATGCCCTCGAGTGGTGCATTGCGAACCATCTGGATTCGGCAAAGTCCTGATTGATACTGTTGATGGAAGAAATATTGCATGAGTTTTATAATACTACATGTTTACCACCCCGCGCCCCCTACCTAACATTGAGCTGCGACGGGCAAAAGTGCTCGTAGGTTGCCAATGACCTAAATCTTGCATGACCCAACCCAACTTGGCCAAACTGAGCACCAATGTTAATTAGGGGGCGCGGGGTAAGTTGTAACAAGATGGAGTGGATCTGTAGAAAAGTCATGCAATATTTCTTCCATCCACCGTACCGTCGCGAAAAGCTCCTCTTTATGATTGCTCCAGCACTTGATTTATAATTGTATGTTGATGCGTTGTCAAGCGTTACACAACTCTTCACCCATAGCTTCATGAATGTCACGGTGTTACTCGCGAGCCCCTCAGCTCGCAAACAACAGCGACTGCTTTCAAAACCAATGCAGGTCGACTTCCAAGGCTCCACCAGAAACCCATTCCATGCGACGAAGCCCCAAATCCATTCAGTTCAACTAGGGAGGGGCAATACAACATGAGAAGCAGAGACCGCCATCAGAACTAGGATCAAACCAGCCAAGCAAAGTTGTGGCCGAGTAGCACCAAAAACACCCCCAAGCCAGCTGCCACCAGGAGAACTGCAGCCTGCAGTTACCCGCCAGCCGAGCGTACTTTGGCTGGCCCAAAGCGAACGGAACCCGTTGCCAAGCTCAACTTGCCCAGGGAAAAGAGGACATGTCCCCAGTGAAGAATCACAAGTCATGAATCAAGTCATGAATCACAAGCCTTTCGGGCCGAAGTCCAAGATACCTTCCGAAGTCCTTGAAGCCTTGTCCTTTTCCTTTCTCAGCTTCTGGCCAGGAGGGTCAAGAAGACTTGGAACTCCTCCGGGCTGCCTGGGGCTCCCCGGGTCTCCTGACAGACACGCGCCACTCCATTGGTGGACTGATGGAATGACTCCCTAAGACATTCCATGGCTTCCTTAACGGAAAACATTCCCACATTCCCTGCACCAGCTAGTCCTCACCAGCTAGTCAAGTTAAGAGAGGGGAATGACGCTGAGTTCATAGATGTCGAGGTATGATTGGACGAACTCCTTGGTAACATGCCACTCAACCTCGGCATCTCTTCCTCTCTCCCCCCCTCTCTCTCTCTCTCTCTCTCTCTCTCTCTCTCTCTCTCTCTCTCTCTCTCTCTCTCTGGTGCGCTATCTGGTCGGCTTTGAGTATTTCAAAAAGCGCCTTGGCTGAGCTCAACACACCCTTGGGCGCTTCCTGAGGTTGGCTTCTGGTTGCCTTGCTACAAAAAGCCAACCCTCTGATCGTGGCCTGGGAACCACGAAGTGTGGCGTCCTTTTGCGACCCTCAAGAGGAAACACCATGGAACCCAGGTAACAAAGAACCTGACAACACTCCACCCTTTCCGTTTGCTAGTTGCCGGAACGGTTCTCTGCTCACTTTGGAATCCGGCCCCTAGCTGTCCGAATCCTCTCACGCCCCGAACTGTTGCATATTTTAACACCTGTTGTTGTTTTCCCCTTTGAAAAGCCCCAGGGTCTAAATTGGGTGTCTCTTTTTCGAGACGATGATCCTTGCTTCAAGGATTGCAGGGATTAGGTTTCCTCGCTTGGAGAACCAAATTCTAATATCATTGCGATGCCTGACTTGAGAGCTCCCCAAGTAAAGGACAGCTCGTTTCACTCCCGTGCCAGCTCGCCATAAATTGGAAGATGCGTCATAGATCTTTCGATCTATATACTAGTACATATGTGTGTATGTGTATATATATATATACATTATAGATAGATAGATGAATATGGTCCAGCCCCCCTCCCCCCCAAAAAAACACACACACACACACACACTGGAAGACCCCCCCCAACCCCCAGCCCCCCGTTCAGCGCCATCTCCTCAATGAGTGCGGGCGCCAGCAGCGCCCCCATGCGCCCGCAGGTGCCGGACACCGAGAGCGCCGAGACGCGGATCAGCGAGGGGAAGATCTCCGACTGCGAGGACTTTGGCTGGTCAAAATAGGCACCCCAAGTGGGACCTTAAGTGGAAACATGGACCAAAACCTGCGGTCCAATTCCTGGAGGTTCAATTTTGACCCATACCCATTTTGCGCTGAAAAGAGGCGGATCCACCCATCTTGATCCGTTTTGGGCAGCCCAAACCAGAAAACTAGAGGGAAAAACCACCACCATCACCATGTCGCGAGATTGTTCTTTTGAGAGAAGGGATATAAAAACACCCACCATCACCATTTTGGAGGAGACAACCAGAAGGCAATAAGACACCACCATATCACAATTTTGGAGGGCCGCCGCTGGTGGATGGTGGTAAAGCCTAGAACCTACGCAGCCCTAGCTCTTAAACTTTGAGCCACAACCATTTGGGGGTCCCAGAGGCAAAGCCCATCATGCAGAGCCCTGAATATTGATCAGCCTTGAGCTACAACTGGGCAATGCTCAAACAAAGGATCCATCCGAAATTTCACATTGATGAACCAGATACCCTCTTACGGGCTATTTCACCCTGAGCCAGCTCTGGGCTGAAGGCTACAAGGGAAGCCAAAAGCAACTCAGCAATAGGGATGACCCCAGTCTGAGGCAGACCCGGTCGAAACATTGGCGAAGGGAACACCAAAAAGAGCAGCCCCTGAAACTGATTTCGCGCGCAAGTTCGAGTCTCATTCTCCCATGTCTGACACTTCTATCGATGCCTTGACGGTGTTGACTGTCTGCGAAAATGTCCTGAGCAGGCAACTGCCAAAGGTGCAGTTTGGCGCTCTCTCGCCCCAGGAGTCAGGCACCATGGAAAGCTTCAGGGTGAATACGCCGAAAATCGATAGGATTGGTGCCTCAGAGGCTTGCGAAACCCGCGCGGACAGGCGGATGGCGGAATGCGCTTCTTGCAGCCGAGGTGCCCCGTTCGCCATCAAGCACAGGACAGCCACAAGTTCCACGAGGCCAGTGGCCAACATGACCTGTGGCCATCTCGCGCACTGATCTCATGGGTCATGTGACAGGCCTTGGACGGTCTTAGCTATTGATTCGGATTGTGTGTGTGTGTGTATCTGGGTGCTTCTGAAATCTGCAATCATGGAATCTGGAAAGGGACATCCGTGTTCGTGCCTGGTGCTGTGCAAGGACAAGTATGCAACGGTCCATGTGTATATGTTTTCCCATATGTATGTATATATATATATATATGTGGTTTTGCAGGCGGGTGGTGTGTCCCCCGCTGTGCCAAAATGCAAATTATTACTACATGGGGCGTAGGAAATGCCACGGCGGAAAGTGAATCAAGTAGTTTGGCGCCTTACGTGACTTGTTTTGAGCGAAGTTGGCCAAACCCTCTGCGTGTGCAGCTTCTTGCTGCTCCTACACAACCAGGCGCAACGGTGAACCCCTCCATTAACCATTCATCTAACCATTTGCACCTTGTCCATAAACGTCATCCATTCTGGGACCAGACCCAGTGGATGCTCAGTGGCACTGCAGGAAAAGAGTAAGAAGCAAAAGTTGGAGGCACCTTGCTTGTTGAAAGAGAGCTAAGCCCAAAACCATTAAAAATGTCGCTACATCCCCAAAGCACACGCCGAATGCCTGCCTGCTTGTATCCGAAAGACGATCTTTGCGCCTGCAACGCGCTGCAAACCAGCAAAGCAACAATGGAAAGCGACTGCCCTGAGCTGCGAGCCCAGCAATCTCTATGGCTAACCCTAGCCAAATAATAAAATGTCTCTGTGGTGGCGCTATTTGCGCAACGCGGGCTCAACGATTGATTGTGCTTGCCGAATCTCTGCTTGGCTTCCAGTCTGTTTGCTCTCTGCTTAGCTTCCAGTCTGTTTGCGTTTGCGGGCCAAAGCCCCGTGCAGCCCGCGAGGAGCCGACGAGATTTTCAAGATTTGTATCTACCTGTGGCTTCACATCGTGACGCCAAACGCGAAATGATTTCGGCGTGATGCTCGACCGTTCTTACACAATAATTTGGGATGTGATTGCTCACACACCGAACTATCTCAAATCATATTGGGGCTGGTTTTTTGGCTGGTACTGCATGGCCTTTGGAGTGCCAAAAAAGGTTCTCTAAGCAGCGAAAACCCAGCAACACGTGCAATACAGGGCCAGAAAGTGAAGAGAATCCAGGGGCGTGAGCCGCTTCACACACACACACCAAATTATTGAAACTGAAAGCAGCACTGTGAGCACCCCCGTTTTCACATCCTCCATAAAGGTCAAAAGTATGATGCGACATATCTTTGCATTGGTACATGCAAACCTCATAAATCCACAATTCCAAACAAGCTCTCAGTAAATCCAGACTTCCCAACAAAAAACTCGCGAGCTACAAAAACTCAGGGGATAACCCCAACAGCATGCGAAGCTCTTTTTCGACCCTCGCGGAACCCTGCAAAACCCCTCGGTTGCTGCGGTTGCGGTTGCGGATGCGGTTGTCGTGGTTGTTGTGGTTGTTGCGGTTGTTGTGGTTGTTGCGGTTGTTGTGGTTGTTGTGGTTGTTGTGGTTGTTGTGGTTGTTGTGGTTGTTGTGGTTGTTGTGGTTGTTGTGGTTGTTGTGGTTGTTGTGGCTGTTGTGGTTGTTGTAGTTGTTGCG